CCTGCCATCTCCCTGGGGCTGGCGGTTTGGAGGGGAAAAGGCTGCTAACCACCTCAGGGGAGAGGACGGCTGAAGGGAACAGTCATGGGGAGGTTTCTAGGGTGGGGGTAACTCTTGGGACTCCTCTACCGAGGATGAACCAAAGGCAGAGAGGCTGGGCCAAGGGCGAGACTGTCGTTGCCTTGGCATGACACCCCTTCCCGACCCTCTCACATGGCTGAGACTCTCTCTCCAGGCACTTAGGCCTCCTCTACCAGTGGAGACCCCTTACCTCAGCCTCCCTTCCCTCTTCTCAACCCATCAAAACTGTTTTCTTGCCTCATTCTGCTCCCTGTCCCAGAGGAGAGACTCCTACAAGCTCAGGCACATGAAGCCTAGGCACTTAGTATGCTACTTCCTCTGAGGGACAATGTATTTTTTCCAAGAATGAGGAACTTCTGCTTCTCAGGCCATGTCTGACCCTTGATTTCAATCAAATGGTGAAGCAGTTGTGGGGAATAAATTTTCAATGTTAGGTTGTTGTGGTTATTCTGTTTTGGCAGAGCTTCTGAAAGTTTCAGGCTAAAAAGCAGTTGAAGACTAGTGAATAGTGGTTAACATGCTGGTAAGCACTTGAAAGGGTAGGGATATCGGATGATATCCTAATATCTAGCTGTTCCCCCCAATAAAAACAAAACAACCCCTCCCCCAAAATAACTGAAAATGAAGGGGGAAGCTTTAATCCCTTCACCTTCCAGACCTGGAGCATATATCTCCTTTAGAGATACATATTCTAGAACTGCATTGCTCAATATAGTAGCCTTTTGTGGTTATTTACATTTAAATTAATTAAAACAAAACTAAAAATTTAGTTCCTTAGTCACGCTAACAACATTTCAACTGCTCAGTTGCCACATGGGGCTAGTGGCTACCATCTTGGACCATGCAGATATAAACAATTTCCACTGTAGTAGAAAGTTCCACTGAAAGTGCTATTCTAGAAGAGAACGGAAATGAGGGTGTGGTGAGAGAGGGGAGAATGGCGGGTTCTAGTCTAGACATAGCCCGTCTCTGCAGAGAGCACGCAGGTAGGGAGGATGCAGCCTCCTCCTTTGATGGGAAGGAATCTTGGCAGGTGGGGAGAAGGTTTCTTACTCACGCACCCCTCTTCCATGAAATTCTGATAAGCCCTTCAATAGGGGACACACCTGATGGGGTGTCAGGCTGGTGCGCCCAGGCCTGGAGGTCTCCTCCTATTGGGACATCCTGGTCCTGAAGGGAGCTGTGGGTTTCTGTCCCTCTGTGACCCAGTATCCGATGGAGGGGGCACCTGGAGCGCGGATGCCAGTGCAGATACGGGTGAAGCTCTGGTTCGGGCTCTCTGTGGATGAGAAGGAGTTCAACCAGTTTGCTGAGGGCAAGCTCTCCGTCTTTGCTGAAACCGTGAGTGCCCGCCAGCTGGCCCCCTGCTCCGCACCCCTTGCTCCCCTGCCAAGCTGCCTCGGGCCCCACTCACTTCTCTATCGCTTGCTTTCCAGTATGAGAACCAGACCAAGCTGGCCCTGGTTGGGAATTGGGGCACAACAGGCCTTACCTACCCCAAGTTTTCTGATGTCACGGGCAAGATCAAACTACCCAAAGACAGCTTCCGTCCCTCAGCTGGCTGGGCCTGGGCTGGAGACTGGTTCGTGTGTCCAGAGAAGACGTGAGTTGTGGGCTGGGAGGGCTTGGGGACCCTTCCACCCTGGCACTCTCTCTGAAAGGCCTCAGCCCTGTTAATGCCTTCACTTACTCCCACCACCCCTTCGCTGGGCATAGGGTCCTCTGCCTGAACTCTCACAGGACGGGGCTCACTAGGCAGCATTTCTTTCTGGAAGGCCTTCATTATTAAGCCAAAGTTGGCCTCTATTCGACTTTGCATTTGACTTTGCTTCTGCTGGTTGCAGCCTTCTCCAAGATACCACAGCAAGCCTGTGTTCATCTTTTTCATGCCTGAGGTCCTTTCTGTCTCAGCGTTTCTCAGAATAACTTTGTTCTCCACCTCATTGCCATCGCTGCCTCTTTCTCCTCTCTTTTCCAGCATGGTTGATATTTAACAACTAATTTTTTTAACTTAAAAAAATCGAAGTATAGCTTATAGTCAAATACTCAGATCTTAAGTATGTAACTCGATGACATTTTCCATTTCTATAATTGTCTATTGAGCTTCAACTATTCCCCAGGCTTTGGTGTCTTCACTTGGTCCCATTTTCTTTCTTTATCTTGGGTGGCAATGTATTCTCGTGTCTGTGAATGTCTCTAGGTCTCCCCAGGTCTTCTTTCTCTCTCTCTCCTTGACTCAGACTGCTTCTCACTCTCTCCCTTCCATCTGTCTTGTGGGTTGGGGTGAGGCTGATACAGGAAGGTTGGCCCAGGCTCTGCTGGAGGTTGTGAATAGGTAGGGGTCTCTTCCGTGGAGGCGCTGACTGTCCCATGTCCATAGCCTGCTCCATGACATTGATGCGGGTCACCTGAGCTTTGTGGAAGAGGTGTTTGAAAACCAGACCCGGCTCCCTGGAGGCCAGTGGATCTACATGAGTGACAACTACACGGATGTGGTAAGGGGGCTCTCCAGAGGCAGGTGGGCTCTGCTTTCTTGGAGTAAACATCTGGGCCCAGGAAGGTCAGGGGCCTGTGGCTCAGAGAAGGGTGGGACATTTTCTCCCTCGCTCTCATGTCCCCTGCCTCTATGCTGTAGTTACGAGAGGGACAGTGTAAGGTCCAGCTCAGGTAGGACACTGAGTCACACCTGGGGCTTTGGGAGTGTATGTTGTCAAGTTTCATCTTTTCTGCCTCCCTGATCATGCCTGTCTCTTCTCACGCTTGCATGTCCTGTGTCGCCCAGAACGGGGAGAAGATGCTTCCCAAGGACGATATCGAGTGCCCACTGGGCTGGAAGTGGGAGGATGAAGAGTGGTCCACGGACCTCAACCGAGCTGTCGATGAACAAGGCGAGTAGCACATGGAGTCTGGTAAGCCCCATTCTGGTGAGCTCATAAGGCGTGCAGGTGGGGAGAGCTGAGTGCAGGGCCCCGTGGCTTGGGGCAGTGACCTTCACCGGACTACTTCATCCTGGATGAAGTTACAAACCAAGAATCAGTGGCCACTTGTGAGTCTATAATCATGCTCTAAATGGAGAGATAGTCTCTGGGAAGATGGGGAGTAGTGGGCAATGAGTGATGAGTACCCCTCCCCTAGGCTGGGAGTACAGTATCACCATCCCCCCGGACCGGAAGCCGAGGCACTGGGTCCCTGCTGAGAAGATGTACTATACACATCGTCGGCGTCGCTGGGTCCGGCTGCGTAGGAGGGACCTCAGCCAGATGGAGGCACTGAAGAAGGTGAGCCCAGTGGGTGGCGGATGAGGGTGAGGCCCTGGTACGGGGAGGCAAGGTGCACAGCTGTATGTACAGACACACGCAGGGATGCACAGGACATCTACGAGGCACATGAACTCACTCAATATGCTCACAGATCACACCCAGCACACACACGGATCACAGTCAGGACGTGTACATATCACACCCAGCACAAACACAGATACATACAGATCACAAATGGCACATACACATATCACACCTAGCGCATGCAATATCACACCCAATACTCACACAGAGCACACCCAGAACACACAGATGCAAATGAATCACACCCAGCACACACACAGATCAAATCCAGCACACATGCATAGATCACACCCAGCACACTCGCAGATGCTCAGACAGAGCACACCCAGATGCCCATGACTCTACAAGGGGGTGCACTGGGAGTTCACACAGACCTGGGACATACCTAGAATGTGTCTGTGGCCGGATGTGCTAGAGGCCAAGTCTGAGACAGGGATTTGCTACCTGTGGTTTACTGAGGCAGTGCCCTCGGAAGTGCCAGGAGCAAGGATGTGGTCTCAGGCAAGGCCCACTTTGGCCTGAGCCATGTCTTGGGGAGGGCACACCCTGGAGGACCATAGAATCAGCGTCACCTGGAGGCAGGGGGGCTGGGATTTGCACCTCTTAGCTATCAGTCATTGGCTGAGTTGGGGGTGGGCTGGGGCATGTACCCTCCACAGGGAGTCTGCTCCCTTCAGCATGGGCACTTCCTGGGAGCAGGGGGCCACTGGAGCTCATAGCTGCCGACGGTCCTAGCAGCTGGGCATGAGAGCATCTCGTGAGTGCGCCAGCTGATAAAGGGACCTGGGTGGGCTCCATTAGCATTCACCAGGGGACATGTACTCAGCAAGCACACACATGCCCACGGCTGTGCACAGATACCCATGGGACACAGGAAGGTGCAGAATGAGTACGTGTGAGCACATGCAGTGCAAGTGCCTGCTCTGGAGTCCCACCCAATGTCCATGTCCGTGCGCCCTCAGAACCTGCCTTTCCTGGCCCGCTTGGTCGGTGTCCTTCCTTCCCAAGCACACACTTGAATTTTGGCCCAAGAACCAGGCCTCTCCCAGTCCAGGGGTAGCCTTTGGCAGGACCCATGTCCTCTTCTCTCTTTGGGCACAGAGAATCTAGAGATGGGTGTCACTGGGTCCAGGGAAGGCAAAGCTCTTAGGCAACAAGCTGTTCCTGGTGCCATGAGCCAGACAGACTCCACTGTCCATGAAGGGGCCCCCAGGAGACAGAGCAAAGCCTTGCCGGGCAGTGTGCCTTGCTCCCTCACCACCAGCGTCCCTCCTAGACAGGGACAAAGCTGGGCTCCAGGACTGGCACTCATCACTGAGCTCATGGCCCAGACCGTAGGCGATGCCTGAGGACAGTCCCAGGTCTCTCTTTCTTGGGAGCTGGAGAAGAAGGGGCTTTTGGGGCTCCCTCCTGGCCCAGGAAAGCATCCCCTCAGAGGAAGAGCTGGGGGTCCTTCCATGGCCGACCGAGGCTAGCCTCAGAGAGAAAAAGCTGGGGCTGAGAAATAAGATCTTCATTTTGCCTCTGATTTGCAGACGCACTTCTATATTTATAAGCTGGGATGTGAAGAAGAAAAAGGGAAATGACAAGAAAACCTTGAACTCACAAAATTCACCCAAAACCCAAATAAACAAACGAACCTGAAGCCCAATGTTTTCATCACCACTTCAGTCTACCTTCCCTTTCTGGCTCCTCAGACAGCCTAGGGAGCATCTTCCCTTCCTCATATTCTGAGTCAGAGCTCTCGTCACTGCAGAAGCTGCTCAGAGTTCTCCATCTCCACCTCCTTCAGGCAGCCCTCCCAGGTTTTCCCATCTGGAGGGTGCCGGTAATGGGGTGGGTGGGGAAGGGCATAGCTGGAGCCAAGCCCAGGGCTCCCTGCAGACCTGCCAGCGGCCTCTGAGTCTGCTCTATTCTTCCCTCACAGCACAGGCAGGCAGAGGCAGAGGGCGAGGGCTGGGAGTATGCCTCACTCTTTGGCTGGAAGTTCCACCTGGAGTACCGCAAGACGGACGCTTTCCGCCGCCGCCGCTGGCGCCGCCGCATGGAGCCGCTGGAGAAGACCGGACCTGCGGCTGTGTTTGCCCTCGAGGGGACCCTGGTACGTTGGGGTGCCCACCGAGCCTGGGTTGGGTGGGGTGCAGCTTGGGTTCCCAGTGCTGTTCAGGGCTGATGCAGGGGAAGCAGGGGCCCCAGGGTAGAACTCTGGACGGAACATTGGCCCGTCATCTTGGCTTTGGTTCCTCTGGGGTTGCATGTGGGGAAAGTGGACACCAGCCTCTGTCCTCCTACAATAAAACAGCTCCTTTCTTGGCGCCAGAAAACCCGCTGCTTCTTTGCATAGTCGAGATGGGAGCAGGGGAAGAGAGCCTCAGCCCTCTGCTGGTCCGACTTATGACTGGGGCCAAGGGACCCAGTTCTTGAAGAGGCTGGCTGGCGTGGGATAGTCTGGGGAGGCTTTGGCCTAGCCATGGGAATAGCCAGAAAGGTAGTGACCCCTGAATGTCCTTGGTTGGACATGAGTTCTCCTGGGACCGAGGCCATTGAACAGGCATCTCCAGGAATTTTGAGAGAGATGTGCCTCTGAAACTGAGCCCCAGGCTGGCTGTCCTGCCCCAGTGTGCACTTTTTGAAGCCAGTGGAACTGAGGTCAGCTCAAGGTTATCCAGGACCTGCATGATGGGTTCCCCAAAAGAGATGAGCAGGCCCTTCCTGGACCGTCTGACTGGGGATATTCAGGGCCAGGATGTGGCCTGTTCCCTCTACTGTTGGTCTGGGGATTCCTAGAGGTGGGAATGAGATGCCCAGGATGAGACACCTCTTTGGAAATCCAGCCACGACTGTTCACCATCCCTTCCCCCAGGTGGGTGGCTTTGAGTTGTGACCCTGGAAGCAGGTCCCGCCAGCTATGCTGGCTGATGGAATCTGAGCGTGTTCGTGTGCAGCCAGCTGTGTGTGTGCGTGTGTGTGTGTGAGTATTTGTTGGTGTGTGCGTGTGAGTATTTGTTGGGGTGACAACACCACCTGCTTGGGAAGAGGAGCATCAGAAAAGAGAAAAAAGTACAAAGCAGGGCTGGGCGAAGAGCTGCAGATGACGGCCATGGGACTGTATTCAGTGAACAGTAGGGAGCCAGTGCGGGTTACTGAGCGGCAAGCGCTCTGGTCCGAGCTAGGCTTTCAGGCCTTTAATCCAGTAGCTGTGAAGGATGGTTGGGAGGAAGGGCCTCCCTCCGGGACACCATCAGGAGTCTCAGTTAGGGATCGAGGACGAGGTGACCATCTGGGTTGGGAGCTGTGGGGCCAGAGCTGAGGGAAGTGGAATGGTAGGGTTTGGGGAGGGAAGGGTCGCATGGGCCTCGGAGGCTCCATTGGGTGGACAGTGTAGTGTCTCCTATCGTTAGGCTATGGGGCGAGGGTGGGGCCTGGGGCTGTGATGAGTTCATGGTCGGCCCTGGCAAGTCTGGCACACACTGTGAAGTGCTGTGTGAGAGAGAGGGATCTGGGGCTGCCTGCCAGGCAGCCCGGGGCATGGAGGCTGGGGTGTGTGGGGGCCAAGCATCAGCCATGAGGCGAGGGGGCCAGGAGGAGAGAGGGCGCAAAGCCGGAGGTGCCTGGAAGCATGTGTGGAAGTGTGGATGGGCTCTGCAGCTGGCCAGGATCTGGGGGAAGAAGACGAGCAAGTCTGGGGGACCCACTGCCAAGCTTTCATGGCTCGGTGACTGGGAGGATGAAGGCGGGCATTTCCCAGAAACAGAGAAACCAATTCGTTTATTCTTTCTGCGGGAGGAAATATCATGAGAGAGCACTGAAATCAAATGTCAAGTCAGCAGACCTGGGAGGTGATGGATTGTGAGGTCGGTTGACTTGTCTGTTATGTGTGGAGGGAACCAATACAGCAAAGCCGTCTGAGTCCGGGGAACTTTGCTGACTTAGAGAACCAGGGGCAGACAGTGGCTGGAGGGACTGCATTCACAAACCTGCAGCTGGAGGACACAGAGTTTTAGAAAGTCTTTAGGAGTGGCTGGCCATAGGCCCATTTGACAGGAGCTGTCTGACCACTCTGTACTAGAGTGAATCGAACCTCTGTCAGCACCAACACACACACATACACATGCACACACGTGCACACACACACACACATGTACACACACTCTCCTCTTGTGGTCATCTTTACACTCCTCCTGCCAGGACCAAGGACGGCCTGGGCTCCCGTCCCTGAGCCTGCCGTCCTTTGTCCCAGAATGTACTGGTGCCCAGCAAGATACAGGGCTAAAGTCCACCCTAAATCATGGGGCAGACAGCTGGGTTTCCTTGGTGCCATGACCCAGCTACTGTCCTGAGTGCCAGTCTTTGCCCACTGGTCACCGATGGCTGCAGATTCATTTGACAGGAGTGTGGTGGGACGGGTGAGACTTCTGGCTGACACAGGTTTGGTTCCAATTCTGCTTCTTCTGCTTCGTAGCTGTGGACAGGTCCCTTATCCTTTTAGTGACTACTACTTGCATCCTGGAGTTGCCGTAAGGATTAAGGACGTGATGTATATAAAGAAATGCTTTTCAGTCGTGAGGAACAAAGGAGCCATTTGGGGATCTTATTACAATGCACGTTTTCGATTCCATGTCCAGGTGGGGCCCGAGAGTCTCTCCATTTGTAACAGGTTTCCGGGTGATACGATGCTGCTGGTCCAAGGACCAACTTCAGGTAGCAAGGATGTGATGTGCATAGTGCATCATGAGGATGAGGGCGGCGGTCACATGGGCCGCTCACTTGGATGCCTTTCTGAGAGAGGCAGGGAGTGTCCATTCTTGGCTGAAGGTGTGTGGCTGGGGTCCTGGAGAGGGAGGCAGGGAAAGATGACATGTTCTCCCTGCTCATTGGTAAGAGAAACATGCTCTGTACTTCTGATGAGCCCAGGTCTGATGGGGGAGGCCTGGCTCATGGGGAAAACCTGTCCATTAGGAAGAGACATTCACACGTGAGTGCTCATGACCCAGTAGAATTGGCATCTTTGAAGTACAGAGGGGCAGGATAAAAAGCCTTTCTGGAGTGACAGTGTCTAAGGAGGGAGGCTTTTTGGAGGAGGACATTAGGAAGCAGAGCTTGAAGGAGTCCAGGGAAGGACTGTGGGCAGTGGCCAGGTGGCCTTCCTGGTAATCTGACATTTCTGGATATCTGGGCCCACGGACCAGGCCTGTGGCTGCCCCTTGCCTCCTACCAACCCTCCCCTGGCCCACACGTTCACCAGCAAGCTGGGCCACACTTGCCAGCTCCCCTCCTGAAGACGTCTCTCTGGAAGGCAGGCCCTGTCTGCTCATTAGCACAGGCAGCTTTTCCCTGAAACCTTCTGCCGGGGCCAAGCCTGGCTCCTTCCACGGAGCGGGAGGCCCTGGCTCCGTCTGCTAATCGTCTGCTGTCTCCATCGTGAGCATTATTTTATTTTCGTATTATTCTTTTTCCAGCTAATATCCTGGCATTTCCAAAGACACCGGGTTTCATAATCTCCCTGGCGTTCCCAGGGAGCTGGGAAGTGGAGCACAAAGCTGCTATTATAGCGCGTTCCATCCAGCCTCCTTCTCCTCGCCCCACACCCCTTGCTGCCGCCACCGCGGGCTTCCACCCAGTCCCCCCCTCCTGACGCCACCGGCCTCTCTGGGATCTGTGGTGACGGCTGCCGGGATGAGCTCACAGAATCCATCCTGTCGCCCTTGCCCTGGGCCTGCCCTCCGCGCACAAGGATTTTTCCAGAGCCCCGTCTCTGCGCTTGGCCCTGAGTGTCAGGAAGGGTTTTCAAATGCCTCATTTTAGAGATGGAGACTCGGCAATCTGTTCTCATAGCCTTGGAGATTTTTAGAGCTGGAAGGAACTTTCATGTTTGAAAGGTGCTTTCCACCTGGCTTTGGAGCCATGGGAGCCTCTTGAAGTTGGATGCAAAGTCTGTGTGTGTGTGTGTGTGTGTGTGTGTGTGTGTGATCTGTGTGTGTGTGTGTGTCTGATGTGCAAGCACATGTGTCATGTGTGTGCACACAATATGTGTACTATGTGCACCTGCATATGCGATATGCATGTGTAGGTGTGTTCAATGTGTACGATATGTGCATATGTGTGATGTGCCTGTGTGTGTGATGAGTGTGTGTGTGTGCAATGGGAAATTCTGGTATAAGGTCCATGGTTTTCTCCAATTCTAAAGGCAATCTGGGATCCCAAAGAAAATAAGAATTACAGAAATTTATTTTATTATGTGCCAAAGACCAGGCTGAGAGCTCTATCTGCATCGTTTCATTTTAATCTCACAGTGACCCCAGAAGGCTGGATTCTATTATTATATCTATTTTACAGTTGGAGAGACTGAGGTTCAGAAGTGTACTCTCTGATACAGTAGCCAATAGTCATACATTGCTATTTAGATATACATTTAAAGTAGTTAAAATAAGAAAATTCAGTTCCCCAGTCTCGCTAGTCACATTTCCAGTGCTCGATAGCCACACCTGGATGCCACGCTGGATAGTGTGGCTATGGAAGAATTCCATCGTGGCAGGAAGTTCTGTTGGACAGTGCTGCTCTAGAACAACTCTGAGCCCCTAATGTACCCGGAAGAAACTGCCGTCTGAGAAGGGGTTTTCCCCGAGGCACAGCATGAGTCGGTGGTAGGACTGAGGCCAGAACGGCAGCTCTCTGCTCTCTCCCTAGGTTCCTCTCTCCACTCCTATCCAGGCAGAGAGTCTTCCCCCATGGAGGGCCCCTGAGTGAGATCCCAGGGAGGGCTCTGGGCACCTAGCTAGACGCCTTGGCTGTGGGCATCACCTTTCTTGTCTTATAGCCAGGTAGCTTGGCCTCCCTGGAGCAGCCAGGCAGCTAGAGGGGAGCTGGTATCATGGCCCCCACCCAGGAAGCATCCGATTTGTTGGCAGAGACCTGAGTCCTGACCTGACGTAGAGGGGACTTAGAGATGGGCATTTCACATCCCAGCCAGGAGGCAGGGAAGGGCAGCCGGGAGTTGGAGGTGCTGGGGAATGGGTCAGGGAGAGGCTGGTGTAATTTGAGATTTGCACTGGCTGAAAAGGAGGTCTGATGTGGATGGGGGAGGAGAGCGGTCATCTCTGG